GGATTCATTTGGGGTTTGTAGCTGATTCTTGCCTTGGAGTTTAAGAAACATAGAACATAGAATAGTAGGCTTGGAAGGGACCTTGGAGGTCTTCTAGTCCAACCCTCAGATGAATGATCGTCCAGTCTCTTTTTGAAAACCTCCTAAATTTTCCTGGCTGGCTGTGGAATTCTGGGAGTTGAAGTCCACAAGTCATAAAAGGGCCATGTTTGAAGACCCCTGTCTTACAAGATGACTTAGGAAAGGACGTAGGATCCAAACTGCCCCAGACTTTAGAGTGGGTTTTGAATGTTTGAGCCTCCATTTTTCCCATCTGTAAAATGGACCTATGCAGTCATTGCTCTCCCCACCAGAACGTGGCTGCCAAAGTCCAGATGAACACCTGACAGGAGCAAGAGATTAAGTCTTAGAGGAGAATATTTATAGCTCAGGGTTGAACTGTGGACTAACTTTCCAATGGGTTCAAAATTAGGGGTTATTTTCTGTGTTTCTGCACACACACACACACACACACACACACACACACACACAAAAGGCTGGATGGAGAATCCACAACAGATGACTTTGTGTACTGTAATTAAAAGCACCAAATGAATATTGTCCCATCTGCTTTGGGGCTGGAACTAGCATAATTGCCTTACACATTCAGAATATTTTACATTGAATTATTGAATTACATTGAATTATTGGCCAATGAATGGAGTTTGTTCGTTTTGATTTAAAAGGGTTTCTCTGTTCAAGCAACTGACTAGCTCGGGGGAGAAGCTGTGAATTGGGTACGGGATGGTGGTCCGATGCTGGCTGGAATGGGGTTTTAGGAAAAGAAATGTCTAATCCACCCCCTCCTGTTTATTCAGAAGACCAGTTAACCACAGGTCCCTGCCTGCAAGGTTAACAATAGCAGTGTGTCTTTAAATGTCAGCAGATGGTTGGGGGGGGGCAGGAACCCCAGAGGGGGCAACTTACCACTGCTGGAGGTGAAACTCTGAATCAAGTTTGTGATTGGTCTGATCTAAAGAGTTATTTTAATTTTAGGTTCCCCCTCCCAAAAGTCCCCGCTTGCTGTGTCATATTTATGTATGACTGTGTAACACAACAAATGAATATTGCTTGTCTTTGTGGTCACATTACCCAGCCAGAAGGAATATATGGGCCAAAAATTCCAACCAGCAAATCTTATTAAAGGCATAAATTTTTGTGAACTGCAGGCCGCTTAATCAAAAGCTGGTGTCCTTTGATGGAATATGTTAGCCTAAAACAGGGGGCTCCAATCCTGGCAAACTTTAAGATTTGTGGATCTCAAAAGTTCAGAATTCCACAGCCAGCATGGGGAATTCTGGGAGTTGAAGTCCACAGGTCTTAAGGTTGGACACTCCTGGTCTAAAAAAAGTGCTACTTTTTCACTTGTTGTCAAATACACTAACACAGTTCTACTACAGCAGGGGTTTTCAAACTTGGCCCTTTTATAATTGTGGACTTGTGGACTTCAACTCCCAGAATTGTGGACTTCAACTCCCAGAATTCCTCAGCCAGGCACACGTGCCTGGCTGAGGATTTCTGGGAGCTGAAGTCCACAAGTCATAAAAGGGCCAAGTTTGAAGACCCTGTCTTACAAGATGACTCAGGAAAAGATGTAGGATCCAAATTGCCCCAGACTTTAGAGTGGGTTTTGAATGTTTGAGCCTCCATTTTTCCCATCTGTAAAATGGACCTATGCAGTCATTGCTCTCCCCACCAGAACATGGCTGCCAAAGTCCAGATGAACACCTGATAGGAGCAAGAGAATAATTATAGCTCAGAGTTGAACTGTGGGGTCCTTGGTGCTCTCCGTGCCTGGTTGTTTACTTGCAGACATTTCATGACCCAGCTAGGTACATCATCAGTATTAGAAGGGAGTGTGGGGTTTGCAGAGAGGAGGAGGAGGAGGAAGAGGAGGAGGAGGACTGTGGAGCCCTGGGTGCTCTCTGAGCTTGGTAGTTTTATTGCAGACGTTTCATGACGCAACTAGGTAACAACATCAGTGCTAGAAGGGAATGGGGTTTGTGGAGAGAAGGAGGAGGAGGAGGAGGAGGAGGAGGAGGACGACGACGACGACGACGACGACGATTGTGGGGTCCTTTGTGCTCTCTGTGCCTGGTTGTTTACTTGCAGATATTTCATGACCCAGCTAGGTAACATCATCAGTGCTAGAAGGGAATGTGAGGTTTGTTCTCTGTTTATATTCTAGTGGCTTGCTTGCACTGTCAGTTTTCATGGGAGTGGTCTTGATGGATGGATCTAGTTAGCCAATGAAACATTTACAAACCCGCCCCCAAAAGCTCAGAGAGCACCAAGGATCCCTCGGACCAACTCTTTCTGTACAAAGATTGTAAAGGCAGACTGCAAAATTGATTTTAATTTGTCAGGTCCTTGGTGCTCTCTGAGTTTGCTGGTTTTCTTGCAGATGTTTCATGACCCAACTAGGTAACATCATAAGTGCTTCTAGGGAGTGGGGTTTGCTGTCTGTTTATATATGAGTGGCTTGCCTTGGTGGTTCTCTGATTAGATATATAGCATAGATAGATAGATAGATAGATAGATAGATAGATAGATAGATAGATAGATAGATAGATAGATAGAAGATAGATAGAGATGGATGATAGAGATAGATAGATAGATAGATAGATGGATAGATAGATAGATAGATAGATGATAGAGATATGATAGATAGATTAGATAGATAGATAGATAGATAGATAGATAGATAGATAGATAGATATATGATGGATGATAGACGGAGAGATGATAGATAGATGATAGATAGATAGATAGATAGATAGATAGATAGAGAGAGAGAGAGAGAGAGAGAGATGATAGCTAGCTAGATAGATAGATGATATAGATAGATAGATGATAGATAGATAGATGATAGATAGATAGATGATAGATAGATAGATGATAAATGATAGAGATAGAAGGCAGAATGGAGCCTATATGTTTCTAAGCAGTCTATCTGTATAGATGGGGAAGGATGGCCCAGGATTGGGGTTTATCCTCAAAATCTCTTGGATCCTTCGAAATCCTGGAGCAAGCTGTGCATCCTTAAGCCAGTTTAGAACTGCTCCTATAAAAATCCTAGTAAGGCCACTCCTGGAAAACTGGAGCCAATTTTGGTCAGCATATCAGAAAAAAGATATTGAGAGTTTAGAAAAGATTCAGAGAAGATCAACTAAAATGATCCAAGGCCTGGAGACTAAAAGATACGAAGAATGGCTGCAGGACTTGGGTTTGGCCAGTCTAAAGAAAAGAAGAAATAGGGGAGACATGATAGCAGTGTTCCAGTATTTGAGGGGCTGCCACAAAGAAGAGGGGGTCACGTTATTTTCCAAAGCACCAGAGGGAAGGACGAGAAACAATGGATGGAAGTTCATCAAAGAGAGAAGCAACCTGGATTTAAGGAGAAACTTCCTGACAGTGAGGACAATTAACCAATGGAACTGCTTGCCTCCAGAAATCATGGGCGCTCCATCGCTGAAGATTTTTAAGAAGAGATTGGACAATCACCTGCTTGAGCAGGGGTGGGGGGACTGGACTAGAAGATCTCCAAGATCCCTTCCAGCTCTATTCTATTCTATTCTATTCTATTCTATTCTATTCTATTCTATTCTATTCTATTCTATTCTATTCTATTCTATTCTATTCTACAATCTATTCTATTCTATTCTAAATAAAGATTCTATTCTGTTCTGTTCTATTCTATTCTATTCTGTCCTGTCCTGTCCTGTCCTGTCCTATCCTATCCTATCCTATCCTATCCTATCCTATCCTATCCTACTTTATCCTAAAAGATTCTATTCTATTCTAAATAAAGATTCTATTCTGTTCTATTCTATTCTATTCTGTCCTGTCCTGTCCTGTCCTGTCCTATCCTATCCTATCCTATCCTATCCTATCCTATCCTATCCTACTTTATCCTAAAAGATTCTATTCTATTCTAAATAAAGATTCTATTCTATTCTATTCTATTCTATTCTGTTCTGTTCTGTTCTGTTCTATTCTATTCTAAATAAAGATTCTATTCTGTTCTATTCTATTCTAAATAAAGATTCTATTCTGTTCTGTTCCGTTCTGTCCTGTCCTATCCTATCCTATCCTATCCTATTTTATCCTAAAAGATTCTATTCTATTCTAAATAAAGATTCTATTCTATCCTATCCTACCCTATCCTATCCTAAAAGATTCTATTCTATTCTATTCTATTCTATTCTATTCTATTCTATTCTATTCTATTCTATTCTATTCTATTCTAGCGTCTTTACGCAGCTGCGCGAGGCCAGACGGGGCAGGATCTGTTCAGGATCGAGGCCGGGCGGGATCTCCGTCCTGCAGCCCTTCAACCCGTCCAGAGCTGAAGAAGCTTCTTGGAGGAGAAGCGAAACGTCTTCAAAGAAAAACCAGCAAAGTCCAAGTCGCCTGGTGAAAAAAATCACCTTTGGGATAACTACGACCTGGGTGACTGAGAATCTCCGTAGACAGCCCGCCCGGTTGGGCCGCTGCCTGGAGCGTGGCGAGGAATCCTCCGGGCCGTGCTTTCCAGATGTACCCTTAATTTAAACCAGGAGGGGCTCCGCTGATCCTCCCTCCCTCCCTTCCTCCTTCCTTCCAGCTTGCATGCGCCTCTTGCTTTTCTGGAAGGTTTGCAAGAGGCGGGGGGGGGGCAGAATTTGGCTGCGGGGGAGCAAGCAGGGAAAAGGCTGGATTGCGGGGGGGGGGCCCTGCGCTGAGAGATCCAGGGGGCTTGAGAGAATTTGGCAAAAACATCCCGATTGGGAGAAAGTCTTTGCTCAGTCGGGTGGGGAGTGGGGGGGGGGCTAGAAGCAGCCCCGGGCTGGTCTGGAAAATCCTGGGCTTGAAGATTGACAGCAGCGACGTCAGCAGAGCGGGGGGGGCGGCGCGGGAGGGCAGCCCTTTCCTCCGTACCTCGCAGGCGTTTTATGGGACAGTTGAAGAGGCGATCCGAAGGGAGCCGAGCGATCCTTTTGGCGCTGCCAGTAGCCTGGAGCCGAAGCTGCTTTCTCTTCTACTCCCCCCCCCAACCACCTGCCCCCTCCCCGATCCTGTCTCCTTTGGGGGAGACCCCCCACACACACACACCCTCCACCGGACCTTTCAAGAGAAGAGACTGTCGTTTCTTCCTTGGCCCTTTTCAAAGTGCTGTTCTTATTACCGCCACTATTCTTATTTTGCCCGGCGGGGGGAGAAAAGAAAAAAAAAAGAATTCTCTGGATGTCGCTGCGCGGGATCTGGTGATCCGCGAAAGGTTTTTTTTTTTCTCCCGAGGATGCGGAGCCCCGCAGGATGGTCTTGATGCCGCCGCAGCTGCACAGCCTTAGCATCTGATCCTCCCAGCTTCCAGCCTCGGGGGCTTACTGTGAGTCGGAGCGGTGCCGTCCCCCCCCTCCCCTGGCAAGGATCCTCAGCCGGGTGGGGGTGGAGAGGGAGGAGGACCAGGTCTTTAGCCGTGTTTACCGCCTGTTGGACCCCCCAGCACAGGACTGGGAGGTGGGGAAGGACCCATGCCCCTCTCTCTTTCTCCCCCCCTCCCCACTCACACCCTAAAGAAGGAAGGGCATCTTTCAGGCTTGGTCCAGAAAAAAAAAAAAAAAACAACCAACAGGGTGCCTGCATTCCCACGACTCCTTGACTCCCGCTTCCGGAAGTCTCCCAGGTGCAACCTGACCCCGGAGACCTGGGCTCGCTAAAGCACTACGAGTCCAGATGCCCTTCTGCAGGCGTAATCTTTCCTGAAAGGCAGTTACTGGGGGGGGGGGGTTGTGTGTATATGTGTTTTGTTTTTCTCAACCCGAGTCAGCTGGTTGTGGGAAGGCAAGTCCCCGCGTGGCATGGGCCTGGTTGTAGCCAGAGGCTTTGTGTGTGTGTTTCTTTCCTTTCCTCTCCTCTCCTCTCCTCTCCTTCCATTTCCCTCCTTTCCTTTCCTTTCCTTTCTTCTCCTCTCCTTCCATTTCCCTCCTTTCCTTTCCTTTCCTTTCCTTTCTTCTCCTCTCCTTCCATTTCCCTCCTTTCCTTTCCTTTCTTCTCCTCTCCTTCCATTTCCCTCCTTTCCTTTCCTTTCCTTTCCTTTCCTCTCCTTCCATTTCCCTTTCCTTTCCTTTCCTCTCCTTTCCTTTCCTTTTTTTTTAAATGGCACTTGGCCTTCCTCTTTGGCCTTCCCTGGTATCAAAATCAACCTTGCTCGCTGGATCCTAAGTAAAGGGTGGGGGGAGGGAGAGAAGCGTGGGCTGACGCGGCCGTCGCGTTTCGCGAAAAACAGGTTGGCGGGCAATTCTGGGGATCTGAAAGTCGCGGGTAGGTCCTTAGGAATGCAAAGTGCTCCTGGATGGCTTTTTTGGGGGGCGCAGTTAACGCTAAGAGGGTGCGGGTCCTCTTTCCCAATAGCCCCACCGGGAAATTTCTACTGAAATGAAAAACGGTGTAATTTCCACCTCTCTCTTCCTCTTACGAAGATTAGCAGCCTTCTTACAAAAAAAAAGGGGGGGGAAGGAAAATGTAAAATGTGTCCCCAAAAGAAAACTTGACATTTTCTTTCTTTTTTTTTTTTTTTTGGAAAAGGCCACCCTCCGCTTCCAGACCACGATCCAGCTGTTGCTCCTTTCTCCCTTTTCACAGCCGTCCTTTTCCTTTTCAAACGGTCTGGGCTGGCTTCAGCCCGGCCTGCTTTGCAGAGGCCGATCCCCTGAACGTATTCGCTCGCTTCGGAGTCAGTCCGCTTGGGGCCTCTCTGGTTAGGGACCGGAGTCGCCGCCGGGGAAGCGTTCTGAGGTCGCGCGGGGAAGGGGTGCAGGAAAAGCCGTAGCGCGTGGCTTGAAATCCAGATTTTTATTTATTTTTTTTGGAAAAGGTGTTTTTTTAAGAAAGAAAACCCACGTTACGCAGCGCTGAAATCACCCCGGAATGATTGATTGATTGATTCTTTTTTTTTTCTATTGAAAAAAAGGAAAGTTTATTTTTCATCAACGGTTTGTAAAGGCCCTATTATCTAGTAACCGGTAGGGTAGGACGGCATGTGCTTGCCTCACACACATATCCGTTTATGTGTGTGTGTGTGTGTGTGTGTGTGTGTGTGTGTGTACAATTTGTGTCTCCTGCGGTTCGCGTTCTCCTTCCTTCAACGCCCTGGACGGGAAACTGAGCGCCCGGTTCGCCGGTTTCGCGTCGGTTTCGCTCTCCCACTGCCCCCAGGGAGGGCGAACTTCGGCCGCCCGTCGGTGCAATTATTTAGCGGCCGCTGTTGAACGCCGCTTGGTTTGCAAAGTTTCGGGACTCGCCTTGTGGGTCTAGAGAGCGGCGTCTTCCCCGCGAACCCTTCGAACTTCGTAGCGGCTCTTCGAACCCCTTGTCAGGGTGTGGGGACGCCAAACGGGCCTGCCTGGAGAAGGCTCTGCACGGGCTGAGAAGGCGTTTTAAGAAAGTTCAGGTAGGCGTCGGGGAGAAAAGAAAGCGGTCAAGGCGAAATGTGGCCGGAATTGATCAATTGCCCCTTCCTCTCTGGATTAAAAGGGAGCGAATTGCACTCCAGCGTCCGTCCCGCTCTGACTTTTAATTCCTGGTTGGGAAGGAAGCGAGGCCTAAGAACCGCGTTCAGCCCGGGTTAAACCCTGTTGAATTCTGCCAGGGTTAAATCCTGCTGAATTCTGCCAGCTTGCAGTATTTCGGGACAGGGTGGATCTTAATAGCGATAGCACTTCTTAGACTTATATACCGCTTCACGGAGCTTTATAGCCCTCTCTAAGCGGTTTACAGAGTTAGCCTATTTGCCCCCCAACAATCTGGGTCCTCGTTTTACCGACCTCGGAAGGATGGAAGGCTGAGTCAACCTTGAGCAGGTCAGGATCGAACTCCTGGCAGTGGGCAAAGTCAGTCTGCAATACTGCATTCTAAACTTCGTGCCACCGTGAGAAGGAAGGAAGGAAGGAAGGAAGGAAGGAAGGAAGGAAGGAGAAGGAGGGAAAGAAAGGAGGGAGGGAAGGAGGGAAGGAGGAAAGAGAGGGAGGGAAAGAAGGAAAGGAAGGAAGGAAGCAATAGCAATAGCACTTAGACTTATATACCGCTTCATAGTGCTTTACAGCCCTCTCTAAGCGGTTTACAGAGTCAGCCTATTTGCCCCCAACAATCTGGGTCCTCCTTTTACAGACCTTGGAAGGAAGGTAGGTTGAGGCAAGTTTGAGCTGGTGAGAATCAAACCACCAAACTGCAGGCAACCGGCAGGCAGCAGAAGTAGCCTGTAGTACTGCATTTGGCTCGCCTGAAGATACTTAGAAATTGCTCTATCAATCAATCAGAATAGGTCTGGAAGGGACCTTGGAGGTCTTCTAGTCCAACCACTTACTCAAGTAGGAGACCCTCTACAATTTGAGACAAGTGGCTGTCCAGTCTCTTCCTAAAAACCTCCAGTGTTGGAGCATTCACAATTTCTGGTGGCAAGCTGTTCCACTGGTTAACTGACCTCAGTGTCAGGAAGTTTCTCCTTAGTTCTAGGTTGCTTCTCTCCTTGATCAGTTTCCATCCGTTGCTTCTTATCTGGCCTTCTGGTGCTTTGGAAAATAAGTTGACCCCCCCCCCCCTCTTCTTTTTTGGCGGCCCCTCAAATACTGGAAGACTGCTATCATATCACCACCACCCCCCCCCCTAGTCTTTCTTGTCTCTAGACTAGCCAGACCCAAATCCTTCTTCCTTTGTTTTCATCTCCAGGCCTTTAATAGTCTTTGTTACTCTTCTCCACACTTTTTCCAAAGTCTCAACATTTTTTGTGTAATGTGGGTGCGGATTGAATCGAGGTTTTTTTGAAGTGACTGCAACCCGCTGGATCACAAAGAGGACGAGAGTCGGCCCAACTCAACCCTTAGACAGTCCAAGTTGCATATCCAAGTACTAAATCCAAGGGCCAGACAGCTGCTTGAGCAGGCCCCATCTCTTCTCAGCTTCCAGCAAATCCTGGCGACCTGGCGGGATTGTGGATCGAAGAATCCATTGCAAGCTTTCCAGGGGGGGAAAGAATCGATTTTTCCATTATTGACCCAAATTTGAAAGGGGTCTTCTTCTAAGCATCAGCCAGGGCAGCCGTGGGGGGAAAGGTTATTCCAAAGAATGGTGAGTAAGGGGCGTCTAATATCGCCCCCCCCTCGTTGGACAGATCCATTTGTTTCTCTTGGGGAAGGAGAGGAAAAATCTCTTCCCCATCTTAATCCTGAATTTGGGTTAGGAGCAGCTGTAGGAATCCTGTAGGGCTTTGATGGTTATGGTATTCAGGGTATTAGTTGCAATCCTATTTATTTCCGTCCGTTATTAATATTAGTCCTAAGAGTCAGCAATGTTAGCTCGTTTCCTCTGCTTTTACATCAGGGTTTTTCCAAACCTCTCTGTTTTACAGGCTGGGAAACTGAGGCTGGCAGCCTACAAATAGGCCTTATCGAACCATAGTTTAACTCACTTCAGATTGCCTTTCAGTATTTCATTTTTTAAAATCAGGCGGGTTCAAAAGCATTTCAAGGCTCTCTGTCCATCTTCTTTTAAAATTTAAAATTTTATTGAATCTTCTTGTGAAGGTTCAGTTTATTTTAAAACGTGGGATAAATTTTACCAACGGTTAGGAAAACAAACTAGTGAGGAAATGAATCTGAAATGTTATTTTGGAGATATATTAGCAAGAAGAATGATATGTATTGACCAATTGATATTGTTCATGATTATTGTTTATCATATTCACTACAGCTATTTACTCTTGTATTAATTAGTGTTAACTGAGCATATGTACCCCGACAATAGTCTGTTTGCTAAAGCTTGAAAATGTTATTGGGGGGGGGCAACTTCAATGTTGTTCCCAATCCTATCCTAACCCCAATCCTGATCCTAACCCCACCCTGAACCTTAATCCCTATCCTGGTCCTATCCCTTCCCTAACCCCATAAAACTCAATGAAAACTTTTATTTAAACAAAAAAAATAAATTAAAATTTTACTTCCTCAGTAATCTTTTAGCACTGCCCTGTCCTGACTTTCCGGGAAAGTGTGGGCTTTATTTTTAAAAGGAGAAGCCTTGGGTTTTCTTTGCCATAAAAAAAAGATAAAAAAACGATTACAAAAAATAAAATGTAACAATGTATGTAATATGTATGTAATATGTAATATGCATGTAATAATGATTTCCTGGGTGAATTCACAAAGTAGCTATGAACAGCTCTGCTCTAATCCTTCAGATAAATGAAAGAGAGATTCAGACGTTTCCTATTTGGGTTTAGTTTTTTAAAACGTGTGGAAGCGGCTCCCTTAAGCCATTTAAAGACTCCAAGCAGCCTGTAACTTGTTTTGTCCCAAGGATTTTCCTGCTCTTCTGACTTAGTTACAGTTAAACTCC